CGGTGGGGATTCTGCCAGATGTTGAGTATGAGTATCTCAGTTGTGCATTCCAGAACTGGGGAAGTCACCACAGAATGGATTGGGGGGTGCCTTGAGCACAGTGAGATGGATCTGAACTAAAAAAGAAAAAAATTTGTCACCTGACCTCCATGAGCCTCTACTCTGGTTGGCCACAGTGACATTTGGGGTATTCGGGAATCAGCACCAGTTCAGAGACAGTGTCAGGTAGTCCCCAATGGTCTGATTATTTCCTTTTCCTTAACACACAACGACTCTGGTCAAAAGCTGGAGGTTCCTTTGGGGGATTAACAGTATGAATTTTGGACAGTGTACTGGGGTCCTTCCTTGAGGGGACCAGGCCTCCCTTCATTCAAGGGGTCCTGGTCTGTAAATAGGCTCACCTCTGGAGATTGTTGGAGAGGCCGTCACTCTCTGGTTTTAGGATTCAGGTTAGGACTTTGGTTCACTAGAAGCAGAACTCTTCCGCGTATACAGACCAAGTAAGACTTTAGCGGACAGCACGTCTATTTCCCTCCTAGGACGCCAAGATAACTACCAGCACCACCATCTCTTCTAATTGCTGTTTGCGCTGCGGTCGCCAGAGCTGGCCACACCCACTTTGCGGTGGCCACGCCCACCCTGCCTTTGGAGGCTATGTCTCAGCCCCCACTGCATTGAAGCTTCCCAATTCAGGGGCGGCAGCTCCCACCATGAGGTCTGGTCTGCAGAGAAGAGTGGCCGTGGAGACAGCCAGGCTATGGACACATGCAAGCTGGCCCCCAGTTATAAAGTCTCACAATCATGGACACGCGCTCACACGGAGATATCCAACCTATACCAAGGCACACCATGACAGCCACAGCCACCACACAGCCCTTCCTCGGTGACATATGCCCCATTCAGTAACAGGCTGGGCAGCGGACATACTCCTGGTGTCACCCACTGTCCCAATGGCCTTCCCCACTGTAGCAACCGACCCCAGCATCCCAAGGCCACAGCCTCAGCAGTCATGCAATTGCCACACACACATGCACATACCCAGCCATGCCACCCAGCCCGACGTGGGCCACCCTGCAGACCCTCCAGGGGCCCCACTCCCTCAGCAACACCCACCCACTGCCCAGGCCACCCAGAATTCTGGGTTTGGGCACTGGTTCCTCACCCCAGGAAATGGGGGAGGTATTTTTAGTTACAATTAACCTGCCGCCCAATTTTCCTCCTTCTCGGAGGCATGTCCAATTGGTTTAATTAGGATTACAGGAGAGGCATTTCTAGTCGCTGCTGGAGAAGGTGGGGTGGGGGGATCCCCCCTCCCGTACTTGCCACTGTCACATGCTCCCCGCTCAGGAGCCAGGCAGGGGTCACACGAATGCAAGGACCTCCCCTTGAAGTGAATCTCAGGTCTTGGCTCAGCCCTGACTCTACCCACACATCCCATCCCCCACTTGCCTTTAAAAAGATGGGAGGGGTGTTGTAAGTCCTTCCTGCTGTCTATCCCTCATTCACCCCACTTCAGTCCCTAAAAGTCTGGGGAAAGACAAAGTCTAACCATAGTCACCAAAACAATATCTAACTCAGAAAAGTTTGTGTCAGGCTTTTTACAAATCATAAGATCTCGGGGGATGGCTTAAAGCTTGGTAGTAGAGCTGGTGCACAGCAAGCATGAGGTTCTGGGTTCAATCTCCAGTAATTCTTTTAAAAAAAATCTTCTTTTAAATCATAGAATCTTAGAATTCTATTTTTAAAAATGGGAAACTGTGAGCCAGGTGGTGAGTGCACGGGCTCCTGAGCTGTCCGGCTGCATGGATTCGAATGGACACTTACACTTTCCAGCTGTGTGACCCCTACGAGTGATTTTACCTTTCTGGGCCTCACTTCCCTTATCTGGGAAATGGGAACTGTGATCATACCGCCTCCTGGGGCTTAGTGGTAAGGGCTGACCAGGTTGGCAGGGGTAAAACTCCTAGAACAGAGCCTGGCTCCACATGAACTAAATTAAGGGCAAACAGAGGCGTGAAAGAGGCACACACACTCCCAACCCCACCTGCTCTGCTTTTACGACATCCATCTGCTTCTCACGGACTAAATGACGTGCTCATTTATTCGGCCCATCTTGGGTCTCCCCCATTAGGACGTCAGCTGCCCCAGGGATGAGCAGAGGGTGCCTTCCCAGGACATAAGACCCGTGGCCTGGAGGAACGGACAAGAAGGTGGAGGCGGCTGAATCTCAGACTCGCTTCCTCTGCTCTCCACCTGTTTCCTGGGCACCTGTTGGGTGGAGGATGCCGTCTGCGGCCCCAGGTCACCGAGAGAGACAAGCACCTGCCTCTGGAAGCCCTGAGGTTTGAACCAACGATGAAATAGGCAAATAAGTGACAGAGAGAATTCCAGGGAGGGGGACGATGAGAAAGTGACGGACGGGGGGTGGGGGTGGGGTGGTGCTTGGTGTGGCTGCTTCTGTGTCTTTACAGAGAGGACCTCTGAGCCAGGAAGGGGTCCGAGGTAAAGGGAGCAGCCAGAACAGATGTCCTGAAGGGGGATCAAGCTGGTTATTTTCCGCAAATACAGTTGAAACCTAAGCATCTTACAATCTGCACTAGTGTCTTGGGAAGAAATAGCCCGGCCCTCAGACCCCGGAGGCAGTAGCAGCTGATGTTCGTAGAAGGGATGTTTGACCCACAGCCACGTCGTCCAGGGGACCGAGGCCTCTGTGGGGCTGGGTGGCTCACCCTGGAGCCGGGCAGGGGTTGGAAAGAGATACCCGCTGGGTGAATGAATGAATGAACAAAATCTCCCAGTTAGAGTTTAGAAGCTGGGTCTCCCGGGCCGCAGAGCTGGGCCCAGGAGCTCTGCCCGGCACCCCAACGCCTGCTGTCTCAGCCCTCACCCAACCTCAGACAGAACAGGGTCAGCGGCCCACCTCTCAGTTTCCCTGTTGGCACAGCATGGCTTCTGAGGCGGCAGCATCTTAGGAGACACTTGTGTGAGTAAGCGGTGTTTGCAGGTGGCTCTGAGGGTCTTGTCACGTCTCCAAGCCCTGGTGTGTGACACCCAGGTGCATTTCATGGGGCTGGTAGGCAGCAGAGTGGGGCTTTGAACCCAGAAAAATTGGGTGGGAATCGGGGTTTGTGACCCCCCTGCTGTCTGGCCTTTTGGTTTGTTGGCCACACATGAACATTTCCAAGGGTATCTCTGGAGGGGGACTGTATTTCTGGAACTTTCCCTGAGTCATTGGTAAGGCTACCTGCTTGACCATGTGCGTCAGCCTCCAGCCTTAGTCCTGTGGGCAACCCTGCCCCCAGGTGTGATGTGTGTGTCTGGGAGAGTGTGAACATCGGTGTGTGTGAGCATGAGTGTGAGTGAACATGCGTGTCTGTGAGTGGGAGATCAGCTGTGTGATCATGTGTGGGCATGTGTGAGTGTGTGAAAATGTACGTTTGTGGGTGGCTGACCTGTGGCTGTTCCCTGAGTTTCCCAGCCTGTGTGTGTGTGTGTTTCCGTGTCTGGGTGTGGCTGTGTTTCTCTTCTTGTTTCTGAATGTACCCGGGAATCTTGGCATCTGCTATATCTGTTTGCAGCCATGTGTATCTCTGTGTGAATCTCAGTCTGGGTCCCCCTGGGTGGGACTCAGGAGAACACATTTCTCATGATGCCCCCACACCCATCATGACGCACACACGTGTCCAGGGCAGATGGGGTGGAGGCGGCCCCGAGAGGTCTAAGATGTCTCCATACGGATCTAAGGAGAGGGCAGGGAAGGGGCTGAGGGCACTCAGGGGAGGGACCCCGAGGGGATGGGTGGGAGGAGCAGAAGCCAAGGTCCTCCTCTGAGGGAGAGTTCAACAGGATGCAGGAAGAGAAGGAAGGCAGAGACCTCCAAGGTGTGGACTGGGTTGGGAGAGACAGAAACTGAAAGAGATGGAGAGAAACAGAGCAAGAGAAACAGGACTAGAGACAGAGACATTCCACCTTGTCTCTCCTCTTTGAGGAGGCAGGTCTGGAAAGCTGAGAACCCCACCTAGTTCTGTCCGCCCATCAGCTCAGACTCGGTCTCTCACGTTACAAATAACGATCTCTGCCTTTCAAGATCATTTACTACCTGTCGGGCGCCATCCTCAGCACTTTCCTTGCAGTACCTCCACTAACCGGCACAGCCGTCCTATGAGGTAGGTATTGCTACCATCCTCATTTTCCAGACGTGGACACTGAGGCCCAGAGAGGGGAAGCCACTAGCTCGAGGTACCGCAGCTGTTAGGTTGCAGAGGCGGGATTTGAACACGATCCATCAGCACCTCTCTCAACTGGTGAAGCTCTTCACGCCCAGCCTGTTCCTCTCCCATGGGGCTGATGGAAAAAGTCATCGGTGAGCCACGCTGTGGAGGTTGATGCCGAAGTGGCCATTTTTATCCCTCCCTGTATCCACACCTCTTGCAATGTGAGTTTGCACCCTCCCGCTCCCCCCACCCCAGTAAAGGGTGGAGTGTATTTCTCTTCTCTTGAATCTGGGCTGACCTTCAGACTTCTGGTGGCCAAGAGAATGCAGTGGAGACAAAGACAGATCAGATCTGAGCTCTCAAGAGGCCATGGGCCCTTCTTTTCTTTCTTGGAGTCCAACCAAGCCCCTATTCTCTGGTGAACAAACCAGACAGTCTGCTGGTCAATGTCACCACACAGTCCAGTCACTCCTGTTGTCCCTACTGTAACCAGCCAGCAGACCCATGGCTGGTCACAGATACACAAGAGAGCCCTGTTGAAGCCACAAGAACTGCCCAGCTGAGCCTAGTACGTTAACTCAGAGAATAATGAGCTAAAAATTAATGGGCCTTCTGAACCACGAAGTGTTGATGTGTTTTGTCACACAGCAATACCTAATGGATACATACAGAGGGCCTGGGGGGAAAGCAGGATAAAGAGTATCGATTATCATTATAATCAGTGATTCCTGAGCTTCAGACTGATGAGAATTTGAATCTTGGAAGAGACATATGAACTCAGATTGGTGGCTTTTTAAGACTTTATCATTTTAAAAAAATGTAGACGAGAACAGAGAAGGGAGGTAGGGGAGAGGGGAAGGGGGGTGGGATGGGGGCATGAAGGGAACCTCCCCAAATGTCGGATCCAGGTGACTCTCCTTCTCTGATGGCCCCAGCCCACCCTCAATCCCGTCTCTGTCCTTGTGGCAGGGGGGCCCCCAGCCACCTTCTTCTGAAGACCCAGGTCCAGGGTCTCAGCTTGGGTTCCGGGCAGAGGTGAGGGCAGAAGTGGGGTCAGGGTCTAGAGGCCTTGTCTTTGTCCTTGAGAGACCCTCAAGTGGGCACTTAGGCCCCTCATGTCCTAGCAGGGCCCCAGGGAGGTAGGCGTTGAGTTGGGGTGGAGAGCCATAGGAGGTGGGGTCCTGAAGCCAGAGGGCCAGGTGGTAACTAGAAAACCAGGTATGAGCCTGGCGGTCACAGTCCAGAGGTTAGGGTCTGTGGAGAGGGGAGGAGAGACCAAGTCAGGAGGCAGGAAAGGGATCTGGACCCACATCAGACCTTCTGTGCCATCCCCATCAGCCCCACCATGACAGGGACACAGAGAGACATAGACAGAGAATCAGAACAGAAATGGAGGTGGAAGAGAGACAGAGATGAAAAAAGAGACACGGAGACAGTTAAGATGAAGAAAGTGATAAAGAAAGACAAGGAGAGACAGACAGACCATGGGACAGAGGAAGAGACATCAAGAGAATCAGAGATGGAGCTGTGGAAAGAGAAAGAATGAGAGAGAGAGAAATAGAGAGACAAAGAGGAAAAGGCAAGGGTTGGGGAGAGACAGAAAAAAGTAGAGAGAGAAGTGGGGGAGAAAAGGCAGCCTGATGGAGGAGTTGGTTGAGAGGCTCCCTCTGTCACTCCTGGTCCCAGAGGTCCCCTGACACTAGAGGGGCACTCCTGTCTGTAGCTGGTCAGGGCAGAGCTGAGATGCCCCCTCCCCCAAGGACCTGCCATGAGTTGATGCATGGATGGACAAATGAATGAATGAATCATCTTCCCACCAAGCCTTGGAGAACCCTCAGTTCAGGGACCCAGGCTGACTGCATGCTGGCTGCACTCACTACTGGAGTTTGGAGGTCTTACAAAAGTTTGAGAGTAGCACCACCCCCAAACCAGTGCCCCTAGACCTAGGACACCCACATTTTTCCTGAATCCAGCTTCTATAGATAATGCCACTCTCCTTCTAAGTTCAAACTCATCCCCATTGGTCCTGGAAGACAAAAGAGGGGTGTTAGTGAGTCTTCACCAGACAACCCCAAATGCCCCACTGCCCCTTCCTTCTCTAGGGAATTCCTCTATCAGGACAGACGGAGTCATCATTTAAGAGGGTGCTAGTCCTTTAAGGAAAAGCGGGGCCTTCCAGTGGGCAGGTGAAGCCTAGAAGAAGCAAACCCTGAGACAAAAATGAGGAGACCAGGAAATCTGCCTTTGCATCTCCAACTTCCTTCTTATGCAAAGGAAACACGGTGTTTTTCAAGAACTTAATCCCAGATGGCTGGGCATCTTCCTTTAGAGGAGGGGCATATCTTCTGAGGGCAAGGTTTAGTTAAGGAGGAGGGGCCTTACCTGGTGGCCTGACAGTCATGTGTGGCTGAGTCTCCGTGTAGCCCCCTATGGGCTGGCCCTCTGGGCTGAAGTTCGCACCCTGCCCTGCTAGGAGAGTTGAGGGTGCAGGCTGAGCCCCAGGATGCCTGGTCCAGGCTTTGACACTCCCTCAGGAACACTAGGCCCTCTCTCCCCACCTTCTCCTTGTACCTGTGCGGTTGGATTGATCGATCATTGGTTGCACGATGCGCCTCCGGGCATTAATGAACCTGGGAGGGGGTCATGGGAATGAAGGAGGGTGTAAAAAGGGAGTAGAAGGGAGGCAGAAATGAACACATAGAGACAGAGAGAGTACTGGCAAGACAGGACAGATATAGGGGCGGCAAAGAGGATGCAGGAAGAGACGCTCCGAGGGGCTTTGGGGCCTCCTTCAGCACCACGGACAGCGCCCGGCCTCCCACCGGGCTCTGGCCCACAGGCCCGCCCCGGCCTCCTCTGTCACTCACCAGTTGTTGACTTGCAGGATGGTGAGCCCCGTGTCCTGGGCCAGCTGTTTCTTCTGCTCCTCTGAGGGGTACGGGTGCTGTGGCCACCAGCAAAAGTCACCCTGCCTGCCTGGCTGCCATCTGATTCCCAAGTCCTGGCCTGCCCAGGTCCCTGGGGGTTGGCGAGCCCAGGCTGGGGCAGGGCTGGGAGAATCAGCGTGTCTCAGCTTCTCCGTGCTCCCCGGGGGCCCAATGGAGGGAAGCAGAGTCAAGTTTCGGGCAATTACGCCTGTGGGCGCCCCCGCCTCTTCCAGCAATTAGAGGCTAATTGGCCAGCTCTCATTAGGGAGGTGGAGCTGGAGTTGCGAGGGGAGGGGGAGGGATTCCACTGCCACAAGGAAAGGACCCTCTCTGAGTCCATCAGCTCCCTTTGCATGTCTCTCTCTGTCCCAGTCTATCTTTCTCTGTGGCTCTCTTGTCTGTCTGTCTCTCCTCCTCTGTGACTCAGTCTCCCTCAGTGTCTATCTTGCTCTGATTCAGTGCTCCCATATCTCTCCGTCTCTATCTTTGTTTCAGCCTCTCCCTGTCTTTCTTCTTTTCTCTATTTTACATACTCTGTCTACGAGGTAGTGCGGTGCAGTGATCAAGGACAAACTGCCTGCGTTTGAACCCACTTCTGGCTGTGAAACCTCTGGGCCTCAGTCTTCTCCTTTGCAAAATGGAGCAAATAACAGCTCCACCCTCCCAGGGTATATTTGGCTGGATGGTGGATGATTGACGGGTGGGTGAATTGTTGGGCTGGGGGGCTGGGGGAAGGATTCAATGAGTCAAGAGCCCTTAGTGGCTCCTGGACCACAGGTGGCGCTTACGGATGTTTGCTCTTGTCAGTTCTCATCTGCTTGAGATTCTCCTTCCATACTTCTCCCCTGCCTTAGCCTCCTGTCCCTGGGTAGCTCTCCGGGCCTCAGTCTCTGTGAGGCCATCCTTCTCCATCTCTCTCTGTGCCCACCCCACACCCGGGGCCCCAGGGCTCTCACCGAGAGGTGCTGGAACAACCAGGCTCTCATGATGTTGGTGGCTACCTTGGGGAAGATCCCTCTCTTCTTGTTCCGTCGCCGCTCCTGGTCCAGCTCCTCGTCCTCTCCCCCAGAACTGGGGGAGGCCACGCTTGTGTCTAGTCCATCTCCTGAGCAGACGAGAGGCATGCTGTGTTTGTGAACAGGGAAGGTGGGGGAACAGAGGGACGCAGAACCCTCCCTCAAGGCCCCACCCCACACTCCAGTCGTCCTTGTCCCTCCGGAAGTCCTACCTGTTGTCTAACTTCAATCCTCAGACTGACTCCCATCTTTCCCCTCCACCTCTCAAGCTTCTCACCTTGGTCGCTGGAGTTGTCCCCACTCTGGGAGGCCAGGCCCCCACTGGATGGACCAGGGGTCCCCAAATGTACAGACCCGCTGTCCTCATGGTCTCTAATCCATGTATTACTCTGCAAAACAGGAATTGGCATTCAGTGCTAAGGTCTGGGGTACAATATAGCACAGTGGCTAAGACCACGGGCTCTGGAGCTAGGACTCCTAGTGCGAAGCCTGACCCTGTCTCTTTCCTGGTGTGTGACCTTGGGCAAGTCGATTCACCTTTCTGTGCCTCAGTTTCCTCAACTGGAAAATGGAGGACAGTAACTGTCCCCACCTCACAGAATGTAGTAATGGTTCACTGAGTCAACTTACGCGAAGGCACACAGCAATTACTCAATAAGGATGAGCTTCTACAGATCTCCAGCACCTATCTGAAATCCTCGGGAGCCCGTACTGTTTCAAAATTCAACTCTTTTCACATTTTTAGACAGTAAATCAGCGCACACACCGTGTATTTCATAACAGCCCCAGCAGGGTCTGGGGCGTAACCTCGTCATCAGACTTATTAACATTTCTGCAGCAAAATGGTTGAATATTTAACTAAGTGGAATAAATAAAGGCTATAAATAGCCTCTCATTAGTTCAGGTCAGATTTTGCTGCCAAATGAGTTTGCACTAAACTTAAGGGGGAAAAAAACAACTTTCCATTTTCAGAGATTTCAGGGGGTCTCCAAATTGCCGATCAGGGAGCCCGGGACTGTATTTTCTTTATCCAAACTCCAACACACTCTGAAGAACCGGACAACGCATTGGATTTAGCCCCTACCCCAGCTCTGTGTCCCAGGATGCTGACACTCTCCTGCCCCCCCATAGAGACACATCAAGTCTTCTTTGTCATTAGGTTTGAGGTTCATTCAATGGCTGGGAGGCAGATTGGGTGGAAGTGGGCATGGAAACAGCCTCCTGCTGGTTGAACCCTGGGTACCCTACCTGCCCCTGTTGAACATCCTAGACCCTGTCCTCTCTTGTAATCAGCCCCCTGCTCCAAATGACCCAGTGTGGATGCATCGTCTGTGTCCTGCCAGGGAACAGCCTGAGACGGCAGTTCAGAGAAGTTTTCTCCGGGCTTGGAACATCTGTGTGGAATTTCGAGTTTGTGTGCACGGGGGATGGGTTGTGTGCAAACCACAGAATCATTAGGTCTGGAGCACAGTTGTCACTGTCACCCTGCCCTTCCGGTGCTGGATCCGATCGGATGCCGGGAGTGTACCCGAAGCTGTCCTGAGACCGTTGTGTGGCACATATGAGTGTGCCTACGTCTGGGCCCCCATGGCAAGGTTGTCCCCAGAGAGGAGGTGTCTGTGCTGTGGCTGTCACATGGGTGGAGCTGAGACATGCAGCAGTATTTCAGCATGGTTGTGTCACTCTCACAGATGACCAAGTGGTTGTATCTGACTAATGCAAGGCTACATTTATTTTTCTAAGTTTGTGGCTGTAGTTCTAGGGCTTGATGTCTTATTTGTGAGACTGTGTGTGTGGTTATCCTGATTCTTGCGTGAGCAGGCAGGTGGGCAGCTCCCTGACTCTCTTGGGGTGGGAGATGGCCATGGGAATGTGTCGGTGCCTAGTTTTTTTTTTTTTGGTACTTAAATACAGTTTAATGTGGTTTTATTATATTTTAAAACATTGTTCTGGGAAGGGTCCTGTCAGTGGCTGTGTGAAGATGCGGAATATGGCTATGGCTCGGAGGGAGTTGTAACTGATCAGCACACACACAGGGTGTGCTGCTCAGCGGATGCATATTATGGGCTCTGGGTCAGAGGGTCCTTGAGGCTCATCTGTGACTGCTGTGTGTGCATGCTTGGGTCTGCCTAGTTGTGGTGAGGCCATGTGCCTACCAGCCACCTACCTGGAACCTGGGTGTGGGTGTCGTGTTGTGTAATACTTGGCATCGGGGTATGTTGATACCATGACTGCCTTGTAGGGGTTGGCCTCGTTGGATCTGCACAGCTATTGTGGGATTGTCATCTGGGTGCCTTAGTCTATGTAACTGTGGTCTGACTGCCTCCAAGATTCAATGAATCTGGGGCCACGTGGCCACTGAATGGCATGGTGTGTGCCCACACCTGCTGTAGTCGGATTGTTACAATGTTAGGGTAGCAGGTGTGTGCATGTGGGCAGTCACTGTGGTCACTTTAGGTGTAAGTGTGGCTGTAGCTGAGTTTGCGTGGCAAGATCTGGGGCCATTTGGCTCCATCTCTGGCTCTGTGCCTGTTGTGTGGCTGGGGTGTGTGTACTGTACACACACACACATCCTCTCGAACGGCAGTGTCTCAATCAGGCTGAGTGATCTGTGATGCTGTTGTGCTGCGGGGGCGTGTGTGTGTTTAAGTATGTGGTGTGTGCTGTCACCTGGCTGTGAGTGGAATGGCTTATTGCTGTGTGTGAACCTGTGTGGGTGCGGCCAAGTCTATGGTTAGCATCTGCAGCTGTTGGTTAGGGGCGAGTGCTGTTGTCCAGCTGTCTGCCAGTCTGTGTAGCTGTTGCACAGTTGGTGCATGTCCTGTGGTCAGGCTGTGTCTGACTGTGGCTGCCTGAGGCTGTATGGGGTGGTGTGTGTGCCCTCATGCTGGGTCCCAGCTCTCTGGGCATGGCCCTGGTTGCAGGGTGATGGCTGGTGCCCCATCCGATGCCGAGCCTACCTGGTCTGGGAGGCTGGGGCAGGAGGCCGGGTAGTCCTCGAGATCCTCCCTGCAGCCTCCATCCCGATCCTCGATGACCAAGTCGATGGGCATCTTTCCCTTGAGGCAGGTGATGTAGCGGTGACAGAAGTTGTCGCACAGGTCGTGGACCTGAGGGGGCACCGGGGTACTGGGGGGGCCACCCGGGGGGCCAGGGCTGGGGTGTACAGGGATGGGGGTGGCCTTCTGCTCCAATTCTGATGGGGACAGAGCCTGAAGGAGGGGTGAAGGGGGCAAAAAGGGGAGGAATGTGGGGAAAGTGAGGGCGTGAGGGGGAGTGAGAAGCACTCACCTTCTCCAGCTCCAGCAGGTGGAAGCGGAGCACTTGAATGGCCTGTATCATCTGAAAACGGAGACAGAAGAGGGGAGAGAGGGAGGGAGGGAGAGAGAGAGACAGAGAGAGAGAGAAGAAGGAAGAGGAGGAGGTAGAAAAAAGAGGAGAAGAAGTGGGGAGGGGGAGGAAGAGGAGAGAGAGGAGGAGAAAAGGGAAGAAGAGAAAGGAGACAAGAAGAGAGACAGAGAAACAGAAAAAGTCAGATAGAATGACAGAGGGAGAGAGAAAATAGAGTCAAAGTGACAGGGGCCGAGAGAAATAGGGGTACAGAGATGGAGACCCAGAATTAAGGAATGAGGGAGTGTGAGATTGAGATCAGAGGCCAAGGAAGAGAAGCAAGAGATGCAAGAGGCAGAAGAGGAGCCATCACGTGAGGGGTGAGCTAAGGTGTGCTTTAGTAATACCACCACCCCAATCTTTTGCCTGCTTGCCCTCTGATCCATTTCCCACCCTTCACCTGAAAACTACATTTCCCAGAGCCCTTTGTCAAAGGATTTAGCCAATAGGAAGACCTGGTGGGAGCTGGACCGCAAAAGGAAGGGAGAAGCCAGGGTATTTCTCCCTCCATCTCCCTCTCTTCCCCTCTCTTCTCTCTCCTTTGCAGCTAAGGGCTTCCATTCACTGTGGTGTGGGCTCAATTCTGACTGATTGAATAGCCAACACTTAATGAGTCTCCACTCTCTGCTAGGCATTGCTCTACACGCTTGACTCTGTTTAACTCATTATATATTCACAACAGTCCTCCAAGATAGAAATTATTACTAGCTACATTTTGCAGTTGAGGAAAATGGGGCACAGGGAGATGGTGTTAATTGCCCTGGTTCACAGAACTAGTAAGTGCAGAGCTGGGATTTGAACTCGGGCCATCAGGTCTCTGTTCTCAAACTCTAGGCTACACTGCATTGCAAATGGGCAACAGTTATTACAATTTGAGAATGTGGGTCAGGTGGTCTCCTCTCTGCTCCCACAACCAACCCCAGGGCTAAAGGGGGTGGAACAAGAGACCCCCTTGGAGGAGGGGGCATTGGGGAGGGCCCAGGTCTCACCAGATTGTCCAGCTCCGGGTTGGAGGAGAAGAGGGGCCTCTCAGAGCGGACCTGGAGAAAAGAGAGAGGACAGGGAGAGCAGGTCCCTTCTCCTGCCCACCCCACGTCACTGGCTTTCCTGGCGCACAGCGGATGGTGGGTGCCCACCTGCTTGGCAAAGGCTGCAATGTCCTCATTGAAGGAATCGGAGGAGCACACGTCACCGCCTGGGGGTGTGCCCAGCCCAGTCCCAGCCCCATCACGGGGCGAGCACGTGGCCAATTCACATTTCTCAAAGACCAGGGCCAGCAGAGGGAAAAGCGGGTGGCTGGGGGAAGCAGGAGAGGAGAGAGTTCATGAGGGCTGCAAAGTATGGAGGAACTGGGGTGCAGGACAGAGACAGAGTGAGACAGAGTCAGAGGGAGAGAAATATATCCAGAGAGACAAAGAAAGTGGTAGGGTGGGGGGCGCACATCACATGAGACCCCATGGAACCCTCAGCCTTGTCCCCACTCACCCATAGATCTCATCCTTCTCCCTTCTCAGGCCATCACTGTCCAAGCCTGAGGGCGGGGGCTGGGGAGGCCGGTGGGGGCCGTAGGGCCCGGGGGCTCTCGGTGCTGAGGACACTGCCTCTGAGAAGCCAGCCAGGGTTGCAGTGCTGTCCACGATGCCAGGGTAGTGGGGCAGCTCATCATACTGGGGGGAGGCAAGAAAGGGAGAGCTCCAGGGAGGTGTCAGCACCAAGAAACCTCTCTACCCTAGCACCCAGGAGATGCCCTCTCCCCGCCACAGCAACTTGCTCTACAGTCCCTGTGTCCGAGCCCAGCTCTCTTAGGCTCCCAGTGCCCCATGGAGCTGTCTGGGTGGGATTGAAGGCCCTGTCCTCAAGCCTTCCCTTGTACCCGTGGACTGTGAAAAAAAGTGTCCCATCAGAGATTCCCGATGTGTGGGCAGGAGGGTCCAGAGGAGAGGCCGGCCCAGGTCTAGGGTCTGAGGATCATGTTGGGGGTGGGGGTCAGGGACTGGCTGGCTGGTAAGTGCCAGCCTCTCCCAGAGTGAGGAGGGGAAAGAGTGGTGGGGAGAGATTTTGAGAGAGAGGGAGAGATGTGGGAGGGGGATGCAAGAGAGAGACAGAGGGGAGAGAGGGAGAGAAAAATGATGAGAGAGACAAAAAAGAGAGAGAGAAACACACACACACACACACACACACACACACACACACACACACACACGACAAGCGCCGGAGGGAGAGAGAGAGAAGGAGAGGAGGAAGGAGGGGAGAGGGAGGAGAGGGAGGGAGAGGAATTGATTCTCACTCACAAACACTGCCCATAAAAGCAGTGCCTTGTTTGTACACAAATGTACATGTACACAGTCTCCCCCACTTCTGGTTCATTTCACAGACGAATATGCACGTCTAAATGCGTCTTAACAACTTGTCACACTTCACTCACCGTGTGAACCCATGACATACACGCACGCACACACAGCCAAATACCAGGCATAGGGATGAATGAACGAGTGAGTGAATGAATGGATGAATGAGACATTTAGCAGACACGGGAATGCACGAATCCATGCACACATTCAATAAACACTTGTTGAACTGAAGTCTAGCCCAGCACAGCCACACAAACCTACTTGCCCCAACAGCCCCAAAGAGAACCCCAAAGCAAGATTTCTGTGTTCTGTCATCACGGAAGAACACGGACTGGGGAAGCCAGGGCGCTTTAAGTCTCCCAGGTCCAACCCTTTCTTTGGAGATGGAGAAACTGAGGCTTAAAGGGGCAAAAGGACTGGAGAGGGGGACTGCATGTGTTCCTTCCATCGCTGGTGCTTGCCCCTCTCTGCGGTGTGCGCTGAGGGCTGAGTGTCTCTCTTTCCTTCTCTCCGTCTTTTACTTCCTCTTCTCCTAACTTCTCCCGAGCCCTGAAGTTGAATTCAACTGCGCCCCCTCTGCCTGCTGTTCATCGCACATCTTAAGACATCCTCACATCCTGCGGGTGTCCATGCCCTCCTCCACCCTCAAAGGTGTACTTTCACCTCCTCGCCTGTCTCTCCATCCCCAGGGCCAGGAAGAGAGAATTTCTTGGCTCTGCCTAGCCAGATCCACCTCTTCCAGCACGGTCCCCACCCCTAACCTCCAGAGGACTTGGAACAAAAGTAGACCAGGGAGAAGGATTGGGGAGGGCAGCAAAAGAAGCGGGGTGGGGGGTAGGGGGCTAGAATAAAGGACCCGAGATGGAGGGGGAGACCAGGGGCAGAGAGGAGAGACTGAGGGGCAGGGAGAGGAAGAGGCAGAGAAAGACATGGTGGAGAGGGTGGGAGGGGCTGATGGGGGCCAGAGCTCCCCAGAGAGAGATGGAAGGGGTGGGGGATGCCACGACGGGCTGGGGCACAGGGGTGCCTGCCCTCAGACCTACCCTCCGGGCCATGGGCTGATGCCGGC